TAGGAGAGTCCTGAAATCCCAAATTAGTATATATGAAGACAGAAAACAGAAGGAAGAGTGGTAAATGACCTGCAGAGTGGGATACTGATGACAGCAAACCAGTTCATCTTCCACAAATCAAAAGATAACGGTACCCTAGAAAATGGGGTAAAGAAGTGAACACTGGGACATTGATTAGACCTCCTACACTCATTCTACAAATCAGAAAAAAACTCTTTTATCCTGATGAAGACTGTAAATTTATTTGCTGGGGGGAGAAACTGAACCAGAAAAGCACTAATACCAGGGGGCATCAGACACAGAAGGCAGTAAAAGACTGAAGATAAAGGAAAATTGAGTAGAAATCTAAATATCAAACAGTGAGTCAATTAGCCAGCTCCTCACCACCACCATTCTCCCCCAGCCCTGCCCCCAAAATTGCTTATTACCTCCAGCTCCTAATCCTCACTGTGGATTAAAGAATCCTTTTCTGGACAAATAAAAATCTCCTCAAGGTACATGATCACCCTAAGTGAAGCCTATTAATTGATGTATGGTATCCACAAACACACAGCTTCCTTTCAGCTTTTCAGAGCCTCACTTTTATTTTAAATAAACTTTACTGATACATAATTGACATACAGAGTAGTTAAGTGCATACTGAAATCTGTTATGAGATTTGTCAAAAATCATGTTTACTAATTGCCAAATTCCCCCACCTAAAATATCCAACAACCACTCATCTGATGCCTATCATTATAGACTAATCTTATCAGACTCTACCTTCATATGAATGTAATCATATAATATATACCTTACTGTTTGGCTTCTCTCACTTAGCACAATAGTTTTGAAAGTCATTCAAGTTACGTTACGTATCAATTATAAATTCCTTTTGAATTCTAAATGAATCAATTGCTGAGTAAATCCACAGTTATGAAAATATCAAAATTTGTTTAATCTATCAGCTGATGATGGGGCTCATAGCTTCAGAAGTTTCAATTCATAGAAAATGTCTGCATTGTTCTGGGCCCACAATGAGGCAGTACATCATGGAGGAAGGGCCCAGCACAAAAAGCTGCCTAGCTCATGGTGGGGTCCAGAGGCAAAAAGAGAGGGAAAAGGGACCACAGGAAGAACAATGCTTTCAGGGCACCCCCTGCTTTGCCCCCAGTGACTCATCTCCTCCAGCCACACCCCACCTGCCTACAGCTAAAACTCAGTCAGTCCATTCCAGCTAGGATTGACTAATTAGGTTTACAGCTCTCACAATTCAATCATTTCATCTCTTGATATTTCTGTGTCTAAGAGAAGAAAAAGTAGGCCCTAATCTCCATCATGTGGGATTAGGCTACAACTTCCTTAATAAGACTCCTTTGGCACAAGAATTAAAATCAAGAATCAATAAATGGGATAGATTCAAACTAAAAAGTTTCTTTTCAGCAAAAGAAACCATCTGTGAGATGAATAGAGAGCCTACATCTTGGAAGCAAATCTGTACCCCTCACACATTAGAGCACTAATCTCTAGGGTATATAAAGAAATCAAAAATCTAAGCACCAAAAAAACAAATAACCCAATCAATAAATAGGCCAAAAACCTGAACAGACACTTCTCAGAAGATGACATACAATCAATTAACAAATGTATGAAAAATTGTTCATCATCACTAGCAATTAGAGAAATGCAAATCAAAACTACTCTAAGATTTCATCTCACTCCAGTCAGAATGGCAGCTACTATGAAGACAAACAACAATAAGTGTTGGTGAGAATGTGGGGAAAAAGGTACACTCATACATTGCTGGTGGGACTGCAAATTGGTGCAACCAACATGGAAAGCAGTATGGAGATTTCTTGGAAAACTGAGAATGGAACCATTTGACCCAGCTATCCCTCACCTGGGTCTATACCCAAAGGACTTAAAAACAGCATACTACAGGGATACAAACACATTAATGTTTATTACTCAATTCTAAGAGTTCTGTTTTATATTTTAGATATAGATATCATCTCCTAGTCTATGGCTTCTTTCCATTTTCTCAACAATAGCTTTTGAAAGTAGGAAGTTTTTTTAGTTTGTTTTTGGACAGGATCTCACTATATCTCCATACTGGTCCTGGATACATTAATCTTCCCACCTCAGCCTCCTGAGTAACTGGTACTATAAGTGTGTGCCATCATGAAGAGTAATACATTTTAATCTTATTAATTTTTATTGTCTGATTAATCCAGTTTTCTTTTATTATTAATACATTTGTATGCTGAGATCTTTGCCTATCCTTTGGTCACAAAGATTTTTGAGCTTTTTTTTTCTTTATTGTAGTTTTATAGTTTCAGCTTATTTTTAAAACTATACCTACTTTTAATTAATTTTTATGTATGCTATGAGGTTGAGTTTGAAGATCATCTAGCAACATTTGTTCAAAACACTGACTATTCTGGGGCTAGGTATGCAGCTTGAAGGTACAGGTCTTACCTAGCATGCACAAGGCCCTGGGTTTGATCTCTAGAACCACAAATAAAAAAAAAAGACTACTGCCCCTATTGAATTATGTTGGAGCCTTTGATGAAAACCAACTATATATGGGGCTTAATTCTGAATTCCCTATAATTTTCTCTCTCTCTCTCTCTCTCTCTCTCTCTCTCTCTCTCTATATATATATATATATATATATATATATATATACACACACACACACACACATATTGATACTATTCTGCCTTAATTATTGTAGAATTAGAGTAAGTATGAAAATTATAAAACATATCTCTCAATTCTTTCCCCCAGAATTGTTTTGGATATTCTGGGTTCTTTGCCTTCCACAAAAACAGTGGGATCAGCAATCTTCACAAAGCCTGCTGGAATTTTAAGTGGAATTTCATTCAATCTCAATTTCCATTTGGTGAAAATAGAGATCTTAACAGTATCAAGTCTCCAGTCCACAAACATAGTATATCTGTTTGTTTATTTAGATGCTCTTTAATGTTTTCAGGACTTTCATTAAATTTTTCTCGAATATGTCTTGTTATGCTAATTAAAATGACACTATTATTTTACTTTCATTTTATATACTGTTCTTTGCTGGTACAGAGAAATACAGTTGATCAACCTTATCACTTTCTACCTTGCTAAATTCGCTTATTGTATTTTTTTTGTGTGTAAATCCATTGAGATTTTCTATATAGATAACTGTATTGTCTGAGAATAGACACAGCTTTACCTTTACCATGCCTTGCTGCCATACTGGCTAGGATTTCCAGAATAATGCTGAATAGAAGCAGTGAATTCAGAAATCCTTGCCCTGTAGTTGATTTCAGGGAAGAAGTATTCAGTCTTTCACCATTAAGTATGATAACAGCTGTAGGACTTTTTGTAGATGCCCATTATCAGGCTGAGAAAACTCCCTTCTATTTCTAGTTTGTTGAGTCTTATAAAACTTTATGTGTTTTTAATTCTATCAAATATTTTGTGTGCATCTAATGAAATGATCATATAATTTTTATCCTTTATTTTGTCAATGTGGTAAAACAGGCTGAGAGCCAAAATTCATAATGTTTAAAATTAATGAATGATGAATTAGCAATAAGTATGAATTTAGAAATTTGGAGATAATCAGAAGAAGAAATAGTGAAGAAAAATTTGACAGTTTTTTAGGAGCATGCCTACTTGGGAATGGAAACTGGTTAATAAAACTTTACACAATACAAATTTAATGATGGTAATTTTTAAAAAGCCTTTTATAATGATTCTTTAAACATGAAAATAATATTACAAATTTTAAAAATTAAAAATAAGTTGAAGGGAGATGTGAAGATGATCTCTATGAAGATGTAGAGCTAAGGCTGGCTGGAGGGTCAAGGGTAGAGGGAAAATGAATTCAGCTTTATTTTCATGTTTCAGTGACACACTCAGAAGACACTCCTCATTCAGCTGGATATACTTGGCAGCAAGAGAGAGTTGAAGAAAAAGATTTGGGAGTAAGTACCAAAGATAAGGGTTTTAAAGCCAGAAGAATAGATGAGACTTAGCATGCACTGTATGTGAAAAGGTCAAGTACAAAATTCTGAGGAAGGCTGGCATACATAAGGCATGGAGAAGGATGTAAGAAGGGAGACAAAATGAATATTCAAAAGACAGGTGGAGAACCAGCAAAATATGTCACTGAATTCAAGGCAGGAAAGTGTTTCCTTCTTCCAACTTGTTGGATTTTGAATTCGGAGAAGTTTGTTTGTTTAACAAGCATCAGAGCTTATTTTGCTTTTATGGGTGTTTCTTCCTAATTTCATAAAGAAACTTGGGAAGTTAATAAAACTTCACACAATACAAATGTAATGATGGAAAGTACAGAAAGGTGTTACAAATATTTTTATGTTACTATTTATTTGTTCCATTTCAGGAAACATCTGGAGCAGGCAGTATGAAGTAAAGAAATTCCATTGTTTTATCTCAGCTGATGAAAGAGTTCAAGAAGAAATGATCAACATGAACTGTAGATACAAGAGAGCACTGATTGAATATCCATGTTAGTTAGTGGGTCATTTAAAAGCTGAGAGCAGAAGAAATTTTAGAAGTGTCTTTAAAATTTTTTATTTAACAGGGTACAGAAGGTATGATGATTCAGAAGTAATGAGTCATTTAAAAATAATAAAACTATTGCTTTGCCTGGAAAACATGGGCAATCATTCATGGATGACTCAATATGGAAATTGCTTCTAAGAGAAGAGTCAAGAGGAATACAAAACAGGTACCCATAGAACTACTTGATGGATAAAATGACGAGACCTGGGATATTCAATTTATTTTTACTTCAAATATAGTTGAGAAAATAAATTGACAAAGGGAACTCGTCTCAAAAGGGATTATTTTCTGATGTTCAAAGAAACTATGTATGTAATATGAAAGAAAAATTAACACTCTAGATTTAGTAATATAATAATATTACTAAAAGTAATATAATAATATTCCAGGAGCAGGCCTAATTTGAGCATATAGAAATTAGGAAGTGCTTTAAAACTTACCTTTATCTTTCTTCCCGTAGAGGAATAAAGTGTGGTTAAGGGAAAAGCATCAGGTGGGCAGTAAGGAGCTCCTGGTCCAGCTTCAGCTTCTGTACTGTCTACTTTGGTAGTCTGATAACTTGGTCAAGTCACTTCAGTCACCGAGATTTCACCTTCTCCTCTGTGGGGTGGGAAAAAAAAAACATGCTGAAAGATGGCTTTGAGGTCCAGACAACATGAGAAAAACAAAACTTGTTTTTTTTTCTTGGTTTCAATTAGGAAAATGTTATATTTTGCCAGCAAACTATTTTTTATTATTTGATGGAAGATAATGAACTGGCTATTCATATTTAATTGCAAAACTATGGATTTCCCTGAGAACTGGCTCCAAAATAAAAATTTGTGGTTAAACTTATATAGTTTTGTAATTTAAAAAAATTCTCAGGCTAAGGGTGCAGCTCAATGGTAAAGCACTTGTGGAGCTTTTGTGAGAACTCGAGTTCAATGCCTAGTGCACGTGTGTGCACACAAAAAATTTCTATTATATATTCCAAAACATCACAATAGTTGTCTCTGTCTAGCTGATAGTATTTTAAATCACACATTTTCCTTTTCTAAGTATTTTTCTTAATTTGGAGATCATATAAAAATCAGATAGCATTCTCTATGGGGGAAAAATCCCTTGGACAGTTTAGAACATGTATACTTTAAGCACAGTTTAATAAACATTTGAGTACTACCTCAGACTAGGTACTCTTCGAGATAGTCCAATTCTACAGTATTACCTCATGTAGCTCTCAGTACGAGTGGGGAGAAAAAGAGGATACCTAATCTTTAGGTGGAGGAAAGAGTTCCAAGAGGAGGGACAACTAAACCCAGTCCTGTAGCACAGCAGAAGTAGTTGACCACAGGAAAGAAGGGGAAATGCTGGGAGAGCAGAGGGAGCAATATAGAAGGTGGCATGGGATTTACCAGGAGTTTGGTTTTATTAATCAAGTGTCAAGCTGGCTTCCAGGAGCCAAAGCTAAAGGGGTAGGACAGAGGTAACTGCTTCAGAGAACTCTTTTTCAAATGGAGAGGGAGGAGAAACATGGTTGGATTTAAATTGTAGGTAGAGCACTTTATGTAGTACTGTGGAGGACAGACTTAGGAAAGCAAGACAAAGTGAAGTAAACCAGGTAGAAGGCCTCTGCAGACTCCAGAGAGAATCCATGAGGGGGTAACTGGCTTAAGTGACTAACTCATGATCAGAAAACTATGAGCAGAATTTATCTTTAAATTCTGTGCCTTCCTACACCCTGGTGTAAGCACAAATTCTGGTCAAAGTTGAAAAGAGATCTTAATTATTTTATCTTTATTATGTAAACTATGGATATATTTCTTAAAAATACTTCATTCATTAATTTATCTTAAGTACCAAATGTTCAGCACACTGCAGAAAACAAGTCATCTTCTGTCTTGTAGGAATTTATGGGATAAAAGAAATGAGAAAAAAAGAATAGGTAAATTAATTCAATAGTTATTTACTGAACTCCTCCTGAACCCTGATGGAGGTAACATTTTAAAGACAGTTCCTTTTAGGACATAATTTTTATGGCCTTCTTTGCTTTCCTGAGGAGTTCATTGTGGCACAAGCGAACAGAGAATTCACAGAGCCAAGTAGGCAATTCTAAGGTAAAATAAACAGAAGCACAGGGTCAGGGAAAATTTGCTTGAATGGGATAAGAGAAAAATCCCAAAGAATGGTATAGGTGGCAGTGATATGGAGAGGAGCCTGGAACTGACTTTGACACATGACAAATGATTTCTGGTTTTTGTTTTAAATAGGTTTAATCATGATAGAAGTAATGACTATAGAAATAAGACATACTGGAATGAAGTCAGAAAGACAAAGAAAGCAACAAAGATCAAAGAGGTAGTGTCAATGTGTCAAAAATATCCTTTTTGGGTTTATATATATATATATATATATATATATATATATATACACACACACACACACACACACACACACACACACACACATGAACAGGCATGAGTTTTTTTGTGTTTTTCTTTAAAACAAAAGTGAGATTATAGCTTATTTCCTGTTTTCCCCACTTACTATGAACAAACTTCTTTCCATGAAAATAAAAATCTATTATCACACAAACTTATATACAATACTAAATTTATTTATTCAATTCTCTACTAAGGTACACCAGGCTGTGTAAGACACAGAAAGGAAGCAAGAAGCAAATGCTAAAACTGACAACAGCTGTGGTAGGATTCTGAATTCTAAAGGTGGAAAGAGGTAGGAGATATAGAAGCTCAAGAGATTTTAGTGCTCCAGACACAGATGAATAATGTCTGAAACAGGAATTCTTTGTGAATGAAGAATAATTTCCAAAAGGAAAACAAAAAAAAAAAAAAGAAAAAAAGAAAGAAATACTGTAACACACTAAAAATGAAGTAATTTCAAATCTTCACATCTGCAGAACAGATAGAATGTCAGAGAACTCACTCAGACAACCAAAAAGAGTGGGTGGACTGCCAGGAAAAAAAAAACAAGCGTTGTTCTAATGATCATCCACAACCACAGTTTTGCAAGGAAGTGAAAGAGCTCCCCAAATTGTGCTCTAATGTGCACTGAGCCTTTATCTTAAGTTGCTAGATGGCTGAAAGACTTTGTGAATCCTCTTCCACTTCCTCAAGAGTTTGCACAGGCTCTGTGGGTTACACACTGCTTGTCAGAGTTCCTTTGGAAGCTGCTAAAACTAAACATTTTCCGATTCAGCAGGAACAGCTCTATCTTTTTAGATACAGGATCTTCAAAAAAGGTTTTACTTGAAAAAACAATTACTTAATTAAAAAGTATTAAACTCACAGGGTTAAACAAATAACATTAGCCTCATTTGTTAATCACAAAGGAAAATGTAAATTTATAATACAAAGCTCTTAAAGTTACTACTTTTAACATATTAGTCAAATTTAGCACCACTACTGGTGTGATAATCAGGTAATATGTACTTCCACACAGTATAAAATGAGGACTGCAGTATTGTCTATGAATTTGATATTTTTTTGTTTTGGACACATTTTTAGGATATCTAGCAGATATCTGGGCTGGAATCTGGGCTGGAAATTTGGGAATCATAAAGTCATTAAATTTGATAAAACACTCAAGGAAAGAAAGATTACAGAAAGTAAAAAGGAGACATCTAAAAACTGAGCCCTGTGATACTCAAACATGCAGAACAGTGCTGGCCAACGAAACTTTCTGTGATTATGAAATATTCTCATTATATGTATCACTTGAGAGAGAGCCACTATACACAGGTGGCTACTGAACACTGGAGATACACCTAATGCAACTGAATAACTAAAATGTAATTGAAATAGGTTCACATAGCTAGCAGCTGCAGTACTAAGCAGCATATATCCAGAGTTTGGGAAAGGAAAAAGAAATTAGCAAGGGAAACTGAAAAAAAGTGGCCAGAAAGGGAGGAACTATTATGAGACACTTCTCTATGGGTCTGTCATATTTCTGTATAAGTGAGGCAATGACAATGTTGGTAGTCAGTGATAAATGATAGTTCTGGACTATTTCCCAAAAATGTTTGTATAGTGAAGAGTTTTGGGAGACTAGACCTCTAAAGGTAATAATTATTGCCCAATACAATAAAGATGTATCTCCTTCAGATTAGGTTTCCTTTTCAATAATACAAAACAATATGCATGCATATTAGCTACCTTCTTCACATTGTCCTAGGAAAAATGGGGCCAAGGAAAACTAGTACAAAAATACGGATTCTCTGGCTACTGCTGTAATAGCCTTCTATCTCAGATCCAAAAGTCTGTGTCTTCTACCAATATTCATGAATTTATGGCAGATTAACTTGTTAACTTACAAATCAGGCAAAATCTTAGATCCTTCATAATTTTTGACAGGTATCTTAGAAGCCATGTGAAGATGTTTCAAGGAGGAGAAAATAATCAACTCAGCTCTAGAATGTCAGATAAAAAGAAATGACAGTTGGGGGGTTATCACTGATAACTGAAAAGAGCAGTTTTGATGAAACTGTGGAAGAAGTCTGACTGGTTTGAGTTTAAAACATGAGCAAAGAAAAATTTACCAAAAGAATATAGATAATTGTTTCAAGAAGTTCTGCTGTAAAGTTTATGTGAGATAAGGCAATAGCTAGAGGGGAAAGTGGAGTCAAGAACTAAAAGCATATTTTTATACATAAGAGAATGATTTAGAAGAGGAGAAAACTGATGGCACAAGAGAATTGCAAAGTACTAGTTGGCTAATTCTTTCCTGGTAACGAGAAAAAACAAAATATATGAATGTTCCTATAGGTGGTGGGCAGCTATAATTATAAAAGTCCTTTTCTAAGTCGGTTTACTCAGTGAGACAGGAAGCAAGGACATCCTTTGAAAGTGAAGAATGAGGAAGAGAGATTGAATATGTGAAAAGACTAAAGATACAAAACAGTCATTCTCGAGGAGATGAAACTGAGATAAATGAGTGGGGAAATCTGGTATGATTGCCAGGTAACTCTTAGGGTCCACTTGAAATTATGATCATAAATTTAATTCAAGTTCAGTAGGACTTGCATTAAACATGCATGGAATAGGCAAAGAATTAGATTAACTGGTACTATAGTTTAACCAAGTGAGGCTGCTGACGTGAGAAGGAAGCAAAGGAATTGAGGATGTACTTAAGGGAGAAATGATAAAATCTAAGTCTCTACCCCTCATATCCCCTGAAACCTTAACCTTTCCACTGAGCTCGGTGGTAGTTATCAGCAAAATCCTCATATCCTTGACCTCTTCTCAGAAGTTTTCAACTTCTTTCATCTTCTTATTTAAACTGAAACTTGTCTCTTTTCTGAAGATTCTGCTTTCCCCATAACCCTTTTAGATGAGGACTCTTTCTCTTCCACACTCCTCAAACAAAAAGCCTGGTAAGTGCCCTTCTTATTCCTCTCTGCTAATATCCAGAACATTCTCCAGTTGTTCTGAATCACATATCAGATTTGACTACCCACTACCTTTCCTATGACAGTCATTTATGACTCCCCAAGATCACTCCTTTGATTCTTCGATAATTTTAGGGTGTGGCTCACAGTCATTCTAACACTGCTCTGTTCTAATTCTTATTGATTTTAACATCCAAACAATCTGATATCCTGGTTT